TCTCATAGCACACCTGCATTTGTTGTTTTCAGTAGTATTTTTATCAAACTTTTAACAAAAATTCTATATATTTCTCTTTTGCAATGACTATTCCTACCTGGTTCACAGTCTCTTCCCTATGCCCTAATTTCTCTAACAGGTATGATCTTAGACTCACTCTATTAAATCAAATTATCACTATAAAATAGAGTAATCTACCAGTTTTTCTAAAAATACCTTGTTACCGATGTAAGTATATCTTTCCCTAATTATAAAGTTTGAGTTTTTATTGTCATATTATAATATAAATGGATGACCGGTTAACAATCACATCCTTTTAAATAGTACATTTGACATTGAATGTAGGTATTCTCTCCATATTGCTCAACAGGAACAGACGGTTTACTTGTAAATTGAATTATATTACATAAATCTCATTGAATTTCTCTATAATTTTCATAGCAATATGCACATAGAACACTCTCCCAATATAAATATAATATACACCATTAGTGTCATTGTGTGATCGACTGTTGACGTCCCTCTGGCACAGACGCGCCATCTTAATTTTATACATTTTAAGGGACACTTTTTGTATACATAGTTAGTTCTTACCTCTACACTCTATAGGAGGGGTAATTTAAAGTTTTATAAGTCATTTGTTGTTTATTATTAATTAAATAAATTCGAATATCGCAATATCATTATCTTAAAAAACGTGAGTTGATTTGTTAGTAAAGACATTTTATAAATTTCCATAGAGCACACTCGATGTCTTACACCCAGTAATATACATTGTTACAATTACTTATCCATATCAAAATCAGACGACGAAAAGCGTATTTCACTGGGCGAAGTTTTTTTTTATGTAATACATGTTTTGTATCAATTTTGAGAACTCAATTGTAAACAAATCATTTACAGAACTGGTTTAGAAATTAAAATCTTTAGTATTTTCTTGTCCTTAAGATTTTTGCAGATTTAAATGTATATTTTATATAAATATAATTTTATAGATATAATTAAAAAATGTATTGTTTTTAACAGATTTAACTATTGAAAACTTCTCGAAGAATATTTATTTGAATTTTTGTTTAATGCATAGCTCACATTATACTAGATCTCAATGTAAAAAAAATGTATGTCACTGCTAACAATAGCCTTGAAATAAATTGTGTTCATCCAAAAAGATTATATCGTGTCATAAAAGTCTTTCTGTCCACCGACCCTTGCGACATTTTCACATGTTTTCAGAGCTCCATTCAATCCGATCTCATCACTCAAAATTGATGGGTACATTATGAAGCTACCCTGACATTTTATACGTATGGGAACTTATTGCTTTCTTGTGGCTTTCTTAGAATTCGTCAAAAAATCCATCTAACGCGACTTCTGGTGGAGTGTACAGTGATACAGAAAAAGAGGTTATTGTTGTAATAAATATATAATAATAACAATGATATTTAGTTAGACATTAACGAAATGAAGAAAATATTATTAAATACTGGACATTTATTGTCAGTTCAATAAGCGAAAATGTGACACTTTAAAATCTAACATGCCTTCACATTTTCAATGTGAAAGTCACTTTCTTACCAACGCCGTATCGAAATATAATATAAAACTAATTTATTTTTCATTTGGTTGCCATATACAAAGGAGGCTATTAAATTTAAAAGATTATTATTTTGACAAATAAAATCAATAAATGTCAAAGTATTAACAATGTCATCGACTATCTACTTACAAAAAAGGTAAAAAAAGAAAATAAAAATAATATATTCTTGACAAATAAAAACTTGTATACAACACGTATATTTTAAAATGATAACGCCAATCAGACTAAAGACCCTGTGGCTGCATCCAGTCACCTTTCAGCCGTTAGCATCTATACTAGCCGTGAAAACATCTTTTTTCTTTCCGACCAAACTTTAATTTAATGTTATTTAATAATTATTTATATAAAATGTCCTTGGTTTATTCGGTCGTTTTTATTTTCTATCGTTTAGCACAGCACTACATATGTTTCGAAAAACTTCGGGTGCAGTTTTTTTTAATTTTGAAAGTATATATGTTAGTTTTAATAAAAGTATATGGATTTGTAAAACAGGTAAAACATTAATTTATTATTATATATATTATATATTTTTATCGCTTAAACTAAAAATATTAAAAAATATTCAGTATATTCAGTAAAAATCAATAATAAAATAAAGGCAGACAACATTATTTACGGAAAAATGTATAAGAGGTTGCCTAAGTCTAATAAGTTGTCTTTAAAGAATTAACCTATTCTCTCAATATAAAAAAAATCCCTTTAAATAATAGCGTGAAGTTAAAATGTATAAACAGAAGGATTGTTATTTATACTTTCATTTTCGTTCGAAAGAAAACATAGAATGAATGATTAAAACTGGTTTCCTATCAGTAAGTCACAAAATTGCATTTCAGCCGCATACAATAATCAAAGGCAAAAATCTAAAAGTTTTTGCTGAACATTTAAGATTAAAGGGATGTTGTAGAACACCGTAAAATGATAATTTATTGTTTATTTAAAACCTTTCAAGTTTCTGATGTCTACTGTTTCTGTATTACTGTTATTATTACAAAAATAAAATTATTTTTTTTATTATACACATATCCATTTATTTTTTTGATTTCATTTCCACTTTGCTACTGAAAATTTTTATAATTTACACTGTTTTTTTGCTAGTATTTTTACAATTTTTACCACAGCAACTGCTTATTGTATTGTTTTTACCCATTTTTATGAAAAAAAAAAAAAAGTAAAATGTATACGTGTATTTGATATGCCAAAATTACAAAATATCGCCCTAAAATGCACGAATTATCCGCAGCTAGCGCTAGTATCGCTTTTGCTTCACCTACCATGACTTCGCACTGAGCGAATAGGAGTATACGGCGTAAAATCATAGATATAGAAACCAGCGTAAAATCCACTGCGCATCTTAATGTGATTAATAATAGAAAATAAAAAAAGGCGGCCATTTTTATATAAACAAACTGAAACTTATTTAACCAATTTAATTTCTATAATGTGTCAAAAATGTCAAATTTTTAGTGAATTTTATTTTTCATGTTGTTTTGTTTGTTCTTAAATATTTTGATTGTTACTATTATTTAGATAAAAATGTTTTATTTGTTTTAAAACTTGTAAATTAGACTTTTTTTAGGATATCTTGTAAAATAATAATATAATAATAATAATAATAATACTCTCCCTAATTCACCCCCTTACGAGTGAATTTCAACCCCTGAAGTCGACTGAACGACTTGTGTAGGGGAAGGGACGGCTATTATTATTATTTGCCGTAGCGCTCCGGGGTGACTTAAATATGATTGATGGTGCCATTTGACTTGCAAGCAAATATTATGACGTCTGTTGCCGATATATTCGTTACATTCCACATGTAAGTAACAATATTTAGCAACAAGTATTAGAAATTAAAAATTAAAAAAAACCGACTTCAAAAACGTGCAGATGCCATCACTACATCTTAACCAAATTTATATGGGACCACCCCTGAGGTACCCCCTTACTAACAAAAAAGAATCATATAAATCGGACAAGGTGGTAAAGCATTATCGCTAAACATACATAAAAAATTAAGAGTTTGAGGATTTTCTCATGGACCCAATAATTAGATTTTGAATAAATTTATATGGGACCACCCCTGAAGTACCCCCTTTCTAACAAAAAAAGAATCCCTTACACTTAAAAAAAGAATCATTGAAATCGGACAGCGTGTTAAAGAATAATCGCTGAACATAGATAAAAAAAAATATCGCGACGAATTGATAACCTCTTCCTTTTTTGAAGTCGGTTAAAAATAAAGAATATAAAAGAATTACATTTTTTAGGGTTCCAAAACAAGCAGATCGCTTATTATTATGATCATCTGTCATACAGAGACTGGATAAAACTCTTTTTAAGTTAGCCTTTGTATGCCCTGACCATTTTAATTACAATGATTTTTGTTTTAAAAATGTGAAAAAATATCTAAAACTCGACGCAGTATTAGGCATTCCAAACAAAATGGCTACCTGTTGAAACTGACAGGCACATGATAGGTTATAATATGGCAACACTGTGGACCTGGTGATTTGACAGAATCACTCATATAGATTGATCATCCATGTTTTTAAAAATAAACATAAGCATATGCCTTGAAGATAAAATGTAGTTTTTTTTTTTTATTTTACTCTTCAAAGTCTGGAAGGTTTTAAAACACATTTTTGCTAAATCGATTCAAATTAAAGAAAGCTTGTTCAGGCAATATGGCCGCTCGCTAACGATCCGCTTTGAGCAATCTATATAACTATATATGTATCACCGTCAAAGACAACAGGCCCACAGGGTTTGTCATATCTAAACTGTCAGTTCCCACTGGCAGCATTTTGACAAGTCGTTGGAATACCTAATTATAGGTTTGTTTCGATTTGATGTTTGGTACCGTTCTCGTATCATACCAATATCGGTACATGAACGATGTACTGCGAAAGCGCATCTTTGAACTGTTTTGGAATCGAAAATGAGTTAGAATGCTTTTAAAACTGTTGATGGTCCATAAATAGATAAAATAAAAGAGGAAGAAAATTCTAACCAAACTTTTCGAAAACAAAATAATTTTCTGTTTTATTGATGTTTCAATGATTTTTTATTTTATAATATTATCATTCTAGATTCTAGGGCACAATGAAAAATAATGGTAAATGACGCATATATATGTGCAGTCTTTTTACATTTTTTATTATTATTTTTATATAATTGTTTTGTTTAGAATGTTTGGAGAATATAATTTAAGTTACATGATTTTATGCAATACATTTTTTCAGTAATTTTATCCGAATTTCTCGTTTTATATCCGGTAAATTCAAATGCAAAAATATCAAACAAAACAATAGATTCATATGGCAAATATAAATATAAAGTAGGAACCCTGGCAATAAAGTCTCAGAAACAGTTGTGGAGGATAATAAAAAATTAATTAATATCAGAAATGCCAGACGTAACAAAAGAAAATTTCTACAATAGATGGAGGGTAGTAGAACGAAATTACAAGAAATATATAGATAACCAAAATTCTACTGCCAGAGGAAGAAAATATTTCGAATACGTCGAAGAGATGAAAAATATTTTTGGGGGAAAAAGATCGGTTCATCCAGAAATAATATTATCCAATGAACAAATCGAACAACTGAATCCAAAGCAAATTAACAATTTAGAAAATGGGAATAGTACTGCAAATACTTCAGGTAAGAGCGATTCTAAAGGTTCCATTTCTGTTGCAACAAAAACCAGGCATCCTACCAGAAAAAGAGAAAGTAATTTGGAACTTGTAAGAGACGATAGAAAGCAATATTATTCCGAAAAACCAATAATTGGGAGAGAAAAATTAGTAGAATTGCAAAGAAAAAATTACTTAATTAAAGGAAGAAATACTATTTTAAAAGAAAATAATTGCAAGTGTTGTAGTGATCATTCTAAGATTAGTGTTTTTGAATTTATATTTTTATTTATTACTCATTTTGTTAAGAGAATATAGATTAAGTTTGCATAATTGTATGCAATACTATTTTTAAGTTGATATTAATATTGATTTTGTTTGAAGAATATATTTTTAATTTGAATAGATATTAATGATTTTTTTGTTAATATTATTTTGTTTAGACTGTTTTGAGAATATAATTTAAGTTTACATATAATATTTTTAGTTTGTATAAGTATGTAATATGGTTTAAATTAAAAAAAACCTGAAACCTAATAAAAAAATCTGATGTGTCCAACACATGACTTTCCTATCTAGTTATTGTAGGCTTTTTCCGGTTATTTTGTACAACCTATTACAGCATCTCTATAAATGTTTAGAGGATAAACTAAATATATACATTGTCCACATACATCTACCTCGAAACATTTTTCTATAGATATTCATGAAAAACGAAAATACTGAAAAATTTAAATTTCCTACAATTTTTTCATTACGGTCCATTTTAGAAAAATCATGCATAAACAAAAATTATAGAGATCGATATCGCAAACAACTTTTATTTTAAAAACTTTCATAAAAATCAGAATTTTGCACATTTTGTCAAATTTCTCGAATACGGACCATTTCAGGAAATTTTTACAAAAAACAAAAATTATAGATAATAATATTAGAAGTAACTTTTATTTGAACAATTTTTTTCTCCAAACATTAATAACAGATATATTCCATAAAATATAAAAGTGGCCTCCCATAAAGTACCCCCCCAGATGTTCCGACTATGTCCAAAATCTAATCATTTCACGTCAGGCCGAAATAAACCTTAAGTTTAAAATTTAATGTTTTTTCTTTATCCGTTTTTGAGTTTTCGTCAAAATTCGAAATTTACACATTTTCTCAAATATCTCGAATACGGTCCATTTTAGAGAAATTATCTATAGAATAAAAATTATAGAGAATTATATTAAAAACAACTTTTATTTGAACAATTTTTATAAAAAATTATTTTTTTTACGTTTTGTCAAATTTCTCGAATACGGACCATTTTAGGAAAATTTTGTATATAACAAAAATTATAGATAATTATATTAGAAGTAACTTTTATTTAAACAATTTTCTTCTCCAAACATAAATAACAGATATATTCCATAAAATATAAAAGTGGCCTCCCATAAAGTACCCCCCCAGATGTTCCGACTATGTCTAAAATCTAATAATTTCACGTCAGGCCAAAATAAACCTTAAGTTTAAAATTTAATGTTTTTTTCTTTATCCGTTTTTGAGTTTTCTTCAAAATTCGAAATTTACACATTTTCTCAAATATCTCGAATACGGTCCATTTTAAAAAAATTATATATAGAATAAAAATTATAGAGAATTATATTACAAACAACTTTTATTTAAACAATTTTTATAAAAAATTATTTTTTTTACATTTTGTCAAATTTCTCGAATACGGACCATTTTAGGAAAATTTTGCATTGAACAAAAATTATAGATAATTATATTTGAAGTAACTTTTATTTGAAGAATTTTCTTCTCCAAACGTAAATAACAGATATATTCCATGAAATATAAAAATGACCACCTATAAAGTACCCCCCCAGATGTTCCGACTCTGCCCAAAATCTAATCAGCTCATTGGACGCTAAAACAAAGCTTAAGTTTAAAATTTGGTGTTTTTCTGTGTATCGGTTCATGAGTTATGCGTTATACAGACACACACACACACAGACACACACACACACACACACACACACACAGACACACACACACACACACACACACACACACACACACACACAAACACACACACACACACACACACACACACACACACACACACACACACACACACACACACACACACACACACACACACACACACACACACACACACACACACACACACACACACACACACACACACACACACACACACACACACACACACACACACACACACACACACACACACACACACACACACATCATCGCGAAAATAGTCAAAATGGATTCAGGGGACCTCAAAACGTAAAAATCCGTCGAAAACTCGAGGTCGAAAAAAATCATGATTCCTATACTTTCCTTATATCTGTATACAGATAGGAAAGTAAAAATGTTTATTTTCAAAATACTTAAATCTATACAAAATGAGAGTATTTATTTACTAACTAAAACATATACTATATAAAATATTTAGCTACATTGCTAAAGCCATGGCTACCCTATTTCTAATCAATATTGCATCTGCACCATCATCATCTTCTTCTTCTTCTTCTTCTTCTTCTTCATCCCTTTCATCCTCAACTTCTTGATTACCATCAATTTGTGGATGTTCAGGTGCATCTTCTACAATGAAATTATCTTTCGAACAAATGTTTGTAAAACACATGCAGCTTCAATGAAATGTACCATAAAACGGACATTTCGTAATTTAAGATGAAACAACTGCCGAAACTTTTGCTTTAACACACCAAAACAATGGCCGCATTCAGCAGAAGCAATCGATTTATGATTTTCTGCTGAATGATATATAAAAGAGCGATTAGTAATCAAATGATGAGTTATCGGCCGCCATTTAAAACATCGAATTTAAAATACGATTAGTTATCACATCGTGATTAGATTTAGAACTCATACCAACTGAAGTGAATGTTTTGTGGTGGTGCTCATAACTCATAACCTTATTTTATGTTTATTTTGAATTCATTTTTACATTGGATTTGTCATTTTTCACTGAAATGGAGGACTTTGGAGTGATATATGTTTATAACAATATGAAATATATTTTAGTTGGTAATGAAGTGTTGCACAATGCATTAAAATCAGGCAAATACATTAATTTATAATTATGTAGTTGAGTAATTTATTTGGTGTTTTATTCTAAATTTTGTACCTATGTTTTAGATGATGACTTTTTTCTGAAGTACATGTCACTTTTATGTCGCCTGTCGAAGTGCCTAATAAGTTCATTCAGGAGATTCACTAATCGATAAGTCATCGCTAAGTTATCGTTTGATAATCGCTTGCTTCTGCTGAATGCGGCCAATGTTCTATTACATATCTATTTTTTGAAAGCTTTATATTATATTTAAGTTGGCGACGTGTCAGATTTCCTCTATTTTTGTATGGAGTTAGTATATTTGCTTTTAAGGGATGGCCAATTTCTGCTAAAATGTAATATCTGCCACATATTTCTTTTAAATTATTATTTAAAGGCGAGTTCCCAAACACCCTGCTATCATGGACCGACCCAGGATATCCTACATATAAATCCAATATTTTTGTTTTATGATCACAGACTGCTTGCATCTGAAAGTTTATAGTATACCTGGGTGTTAGTATGTTTGACCGACAACCTTCTACCACAGAGAGCTCTCGTTAATTGATGAATTTTGATATAGGAACATGAACTCTTAAAGAGCTTAGTTACCGAGATACAGGGTGTTAAACATTTTAAATTAAAAAATTCAAAATTTATCATAAAACAAAAATATTGTCGAAGACACAAATTATAAAAAATTTGACCCGTCCTTACTAGATTAGAATTTAGAAATATTGAGTCCTTACATGTGATTAAGTACATGCAGACTTTTGTTTTGAAGCAAATTTCTGTAACACCATTCATTTTAGCTAGGTTATTTTTTTTTAACTAAAATTAACAGATTTTAAAAATAATAAAAAAATGTTTGTTTAAGTGGCCTTATAAATAAGGGGAAAAACTTGCCACTAACCTTAATGGTTAAATTTTATGTTAGTTTGTTTATGTCAAAATTTGAAATTCAAACTTTTAACACCCTATATCTCGGTAACTAAGCGTTTTAAGGCTCCATGTTCCTATATAAAAATTTATCAATTAACAAGAGTTCTCTTAGGTAGAACGTTGTTAGTCAAATATACTAACACCCTGTACAAACACATTTAATGCCCCCCGATAGATAAAATATATAAATTATTAGAGAGAACAATATTACTGAGTTTTTTACAAAATAATGAGACTTACTTGAATTGAAAAGTACCCTTTCCTATTAATGTAAGATTCATGATCATCTTCAGGTTTGTCAATTTTAATGTGACTACCATCAAGGGCACCGATAACATTAGGAACACCATTATCTCTGAAATGTTGTTTAATGACAATTTTCTCATTTTCTGTTGGCCACTTTACTTTTCTGGGGAGAGAGTTTGCTAAGTAAGATACATAGCGACTCGCTTAATAATTCGGTGTATACAACTTATTGTAACATCAACTGCAATTGCAACATTCCTGAAGCTGGCTGTCTGATGCCCAATATAACACAAGAAAATCAGTAGCTACAATAAAAAGTCATGTCATATCATTATTTGGGGTAAAAGTAAAATTTCAATATTTATTTACTTGATGAAATACAGGAAGATTTCCAAAACGTCAAGGGTTACTGTTGTAAATATCACTTTCTCTGTAGCTCTCGCTAATGTCATGAGCTACGTGCCTGGACATTCTAAAGTGTTCAAACAAAAAAACCATTTTACTATACTGGTCGACTACCTCCTCTTAAATAGAATATTGCATTTTTAAGTAACATTTGATATATCTGTTTTCCCAAAGATTGGAAGATATTTTTTTAAGTTGCAATTTTATAAGTATACAGGGTGTCCCGAAATTAGACGGTCATATTTTAACAGCATAATCTACATCCTAAAATAAAAGTAAAACTTCATATAAACATAGGTCCGAAAAAGTTTCTTTTTCGAGATACTGGGTGTTAAAAGTAAAGTCCTGATGACACTCTTTTGTAAATATTTTCTAAGCATTTAAAGATAGCTAAGTGACATTTGGTACAAATGCTAACCTTTTAAAGCTTTATCTAATGGACCAAACCCCAGTTTTTGATCATCTTCATAGGTGGGTAAATTAGGGGGGCTTATGGTAAAATTGCCCTGAGTTTTTTTTGTTGACAGTTTTTACCATTTTTGACTATAAAATTTGGAAAACCAATGTTTTCTTTATAGTAAAGTTACTTTTGTTGCATCTCGCTAGGACGTACCATTTTCAAGAAAAAAATCATTTGAAA